CTTGTTCGATCATATCAGATTGATTACTTTGCAAGTTTCGATATCATGGATAATGAATTACTGAAATATGTCAAGGTATTCCAGTTCTTGTCGAATTATTATGCCAATTTAAACTTCGTTATCGCTGACACCAAAAAAACCTTTGAAGGTAGATTGCTTGGCCTGAATTTGCCTGACCCTTCTGGTTCTATCACAGTTGTACATGGCACTGTTTACACCAGCAGACAGAAATCTCTTTCGAAGGAGTGCATGAGAGGCGATGTGTAGAGAATCTAATCAAGAATGTCTCACATCGTTACTGAAATAAGTGTATTGAAACCCAAACCTCTAAGCAAAATCCTCAGGACAACCAATAGTGCCATAGTGCAAAATAGCACTAAACAAGGTGAGTTAGGGACGCATCAATTTGTTACTTCAGCGTGTATTTTTGTTTAGATTTAAAACGTTAGCTTTCTAGTGACGGTAAAGCTATGGAATAGATCGACCTCTTCAACAGTAGCACAATCGCTTATTGAATTAGTACACCAGACAAAATGGATACTTGTGAAAAAAATTGTATATCTAGTTACTGACACTAGGGCAACAGATCTCAGACCCATTTGACAACCAAAGAAGAAACTGCTTTAGGATGTATTAAACAGGTTTTCCAGTACATTTTTGCAGTCGTTGCTGAACAGGAAAACGAACGAGAAAGCTTACTGAATCACATGTTTCTAACCGATTTAACTAGCTATTATGTAAGAAATATGAATCCACCTAATTACTACAAAAATAAGACGGCTGTTACATAAGGTTAAAATGGCATTAAAATGAGGTCTTTCACGTTTTTGTTCGATGGAATATTAATATGGTAGCGATAAACAGCTCATAGACACATAGTGAGATACCAGCCGTCACCACACATATTAACAATAGTTTTCAGGTGCGTCTGACGAAGTGCACTTGTTTTACTTGTCTTCTTTAAGACACACTAACATATACCTCGAATTTAAAGCAACGTTTGATCAAATTTATTGAGCAGTTATTCTACCAAGCGTAAGCAGTAAAAATGACTAGAGCAAAACATGATGATGCGTCGCCTAAGCAGTCCCAATATATCCAAGAAGGTAAGCCTATTTCACAGTAAAAATCACGGTAAATACTAAAGATTGAACTTGTCAATCTGAAGCAATGAACTGTGCAAAATTGTTGCGCTACTAGCTGGAACCATTTGCACACTTCGAACAGACGTCTTAACCCTTCAAACTGTTACAAATTTCGTCATGCCTATTGGATGCATTTTCAGGTTTGACAACTAACATTCCATTAGTCAAATTTACAGCATAACCATAACAACACGACTTTTTCCATTGTACCTCAATGAAGCTGAATATTTGCAGACATTAATCGCTGGCATGTTGAAACACCAGAGGGTGGAAGCGATGATACCTTAAAATATATGCACTCAATTTCTCTGCCCACATCCATCTGTGTATAAAATATCCAAATCTAGAAGGCCAACGATTTTCTAGAAATAATTATGCGGTAGGACCACATCACCTACTTCACAAGCGTGCCTAATTTGTTGCGTCAGAGAATTGTTTAACAGTAAATTTGACTGAATGTCAACAGTCTCGTGTAAGTATGTTTTGACAATCAAACAGTCATTTTTGTCTAGTTTGTATTCTCAGGGTGATATAAATGCAAGCATATTATACCGATTATTCAGTGGAGAATCTGAAGTAATTAAAGTGACTTAGTAATATGTTAAAGACGCACTTTCCAACTTAATTAGCTATTACACTATACCCCAAAATAGGGCTATGCCACGTTTTCGTGAGCAGTAGAAGCCTTCGTACGATGCACGTAGTGAATTTAAGCTCCACTATCGCTGGTTTCAATTGGGTCCTGTTAGGATCAGTATTTAGGCCAAAGTGTATCTGTAACTTCTGCTGGAATCACAGTGGCACACGCAGGGATACTACACTCGCAAGCACATATCACAATCTAAACACAGCAAGAAGTTTTTCAAATGTAAGATTTATTAAACGCCCGTTAAATGACTCGTGTTATGCAATGAGAAATGCAACAGGTATGACAGAAACATGTTTTGACGTAATCAACCAGTGAGAGCAAACCAACTGTTTTCAAGAACGGATACTAATCATGCAGTGTTTCTTTATGTTGAATTGCATGCAAAACGTATGGACTCGGAAACTTCCAAAGGCATTTAGTTGGTCAAGCAAGGGCGGCATGGCCCTAATAAGGTACTAGAACTGGCGAAGATGTAATGAACGTATCAGTGATGATCTGCTAATTGAAAGCCACAGAATACAGTTTAACAAGCAGGACAGCTTGAACGTTTAACAATTCATTTTCCGCATGCCAAAACCACAAATGTTTGATTTTACGCTAAAGCAATCAAGCACTCGTGCATCACCGACGAACAGATATGGCCTCGTGTGGATAATGTCATAATTTACCAAAGTGTAACACAATTAGGCAACATCAATACAGAAAACGCACATGAACGCTGTCACAGACGTCAGCGTAATTATAAATGTTTGTCAGAATATGACTCGCATTAAGCCTATTCACGCACATTTAAGCAGACCGAATCAGGGGGGCTGTTTTCATCTTAATCTTGAAGCTAACACCCAAACCCATGCCGGCTGATTCATCACTTTTCTAACGCAAACAAAAGGGGGGATGCTGGTTTTAGGAGATGTTTCGTTAACATAACGTAATCCGCCCCCTGTCATTCAGTCGTTTTATAAACAGTCGCATCAATTAAAAGCACTATTTTTTATCTCTGCAATGGTTTATGTATGCTAACGGTAAGCCTATGAATAGGCCTGGGCATCTGCTTCTATTTTATTGAATCAGCAGTTTTTAAACACCGATGTGTGGAAAATATTTCTGTCTGCTATCAGCATTGGGTACTTTTATGCCTAAAGGATAAATGTACGGAAGCAACCAGAAAATTGCGAATTCATGCGATTTTCTCTTTGTGCTCATGAGGTGCGCGAGATAAATCATCAGTAGCATCAATACATAGTTGCAGATCTTGTTTACAGTGTAACCACCTAAAATTGATTACCAAGACATTCTTGATGCAACAGTAAACATGAGCTTAAGAGATGTCACCTATGTATTACGTCTAGATGGTGGTTTGTAGATTATTGTGGTGTCTGCGTCAAAGTAGAACATAGCGATGAAAGGAGCCTAGACTGACTCAGAAGCATTTCATTTTGCTAATGCTTAACTACCATATTACCCCTAAATAGCTTCTTAACTTAGGTGACTGCACTATGCACGTCATTACTGCTTTAAGAAGGTGTTCATGAATGAGCAACTGCAGCAGTAAGGCATACATAGGAGAGTGGTTTTCATGAGAGTTGGGTCATGAAGCAGAATGCCACACTTCCATGCAAACTGGCTTGATAATTTCAAAGCGAAATCATCGAACAGAGCAGCATTTAGCAGAAATGAGATGTATCAGTGAAGCCCAACAACGGTGCTCTTGAGCGTGAATAATTTTGCACTTTCAACAAAAAGTAGAATTCTAGAGTTAGCTATTATTTTGAGTTGCCTTATTGTGGATTTGATGTTGCACATACTTGTTCTAGAGGGTATTTCACTTACGAAAGTATGTGGGAATTGTTGATCTGAAACTGGTGGTAAGTAGATGTAAGGGCTCGAAGTAAATGGAATTTTATGTAACAGATTTACAGAAGGATTGGAGCATATTGTTTCGTGAACGTGATTCGTGACGCCAAGTAAATATCTGCATGGTGACGCACAACATGTCGAAAGTATGTAAGTGAATTTGATTTGAGGAGTGTGGACAGCACATGCTTAGGTCTAGCGTGGTTGAACGTTCGCTTCAAGGAATGTACAAAGTGACGTTGATTCACTCGTGGAATATTCACAGAAGTTCAAATTAAGCCAAAAACTGTAGCAAAGGAATGGAAGTGAAAGTGCTTTCCAACTAAAACAATCTAACAGGATTTGTGACATAAATTGTCATATCTCAAAATAATCACACATTCGGCAATAATGGTGCTAGAAACTGCTCAAGGTCGAGACAGTTAAATTCACGAATCAGCTCACTCTGTTCGACCACCACCTCAACCAGTCACCTATTGAGCTGGCAAACTGACTCGGCTCAGTTGCGTCATCTTCACGACGTTGAACGGATCTCTGGTATCAAGCGCAACTTATTTTTTAGACTTACTGGTTTACTTGTGGTAAGTTGCACGAAATGTTACATGCCTTTTTTATCACCACTTCCTGATTCCTGTGTATTCTGCACGCTACCTACTTTGCCCTTAAATGACTTGATCATTCCACTGAACATTTTACTTGGTTGAGGTTTTAAAATAAATTATAATAACCAGGTATAAGTATTATTGACGAAGTAAATTCTATGCTTTTCTTGGTCGCATTCATGTAGAATCTTGTAGCAATCTCCACAAAATGCCAGTAGCATTTCCTACAGGACGCGACGTAACTACCGATGGACGCTAACTGCTTGTTGTTAGCACGCTTATTGCAAAAATGTCGTTTTAGACTTATTTTTCTTCATGTCTAAGGGCTGCGCAATTTCAAACCAGACATTGTCTAGAGAGGAAGATATGTATCATGTACACGTTTAGTAGCATTTTACACAGTTTCATTAAGCTTTGATATCAACTTTGTATCGATTGCAAAACATAAGCGTTGAACTTATATTCACTGATAATTTCGGCGATATTTGGTTGACGGACTGACGGATGGATAAAGCCGTTTTCGATCCGCTTAAGATCAACTGTCAATAAGTAATTCTAAATTAGTGGATGAGAGGATAACAATGGGAAGAACATTGACTCAACATTCGACAACGTAACTGCCAATTAGAGTTTACGAAATGCTGTCATATGTCGATGATAGTGTGATTGGCTTTAATTCGTATTGAAATCGGAGTTATATTGACCAATTTCCGTTTGACGTGTCTACAAGGTACTTTACCGCTTTAGAATATGGCGGAATTTATCCAACAAGATCTTGGACACGACATTCACGATGAAAATATCACAGAGAATAGTGACAGCCTAGGACCGTGCAATCCATACCTTGGCTTGCTGAACGACACTGAGACACCACTTGCACAGCATCATTTCGAACATCAGCTGACTGATGCTAACTACCTCCCATCTGGCTCGCAACAATTCTGGCCATCAGGCACTCTGACTGAGGTATCGCCTCAGCAAACCGCTCCGCCTAACCCGATTTATTCAAGGCAGCCTTTCACTGCGGCATTTTCCCACAATCCCTTGCAATTTGAACCAAATACCACACACATGCAACAGCAGCATTTCGACAATATGCAATTTGGAGGCCACCCCTATGACTACAACAGCCTTAATGCTGCTCGTCAAACTCAATTTACCTCCCCGGCGCTCTCGGTCAATAATCGATTCAATGAGACCACTTCCATGTTCGTCCAGCACGCCCCAAATCCGGACCCATATCCTGGCTCTAGTTACCAAATCGAAAGTCGTAATCTAAGGAAAAGACATCTGGAACGATATGCTTCGGCCAATTCTTGTCCAGATCCTCAGCCATCAACTAGAATGCACTATTTTATGCCAGCTTCGGGCATCCAAGCTAACACGCCCTGCTCAGCTAGGCCTATACGATCAGTTCCACCACACATCACTACCACCGATGTAAATGTTGTGGCTGCTAGGCCTGAAGAAGGAACATTGAGCCAGACCACTTCTGATGTATCTAATAGAAGACGTCTGTACGTCAGAAACCAGGTTATCAATGTGTCTTTTGACACGCATCTCCAGTTATTCAGAAGTCTGCCACCAAGAACAAGTTTAAACGAATTCATGTACGCTGCCACCAAATCGTATGAGACAATTTGCACTGGACGACAGCCTTTCTCAAAAGAAGAAGAAACAACTTCCCTGGAGTTAATTGAGAAAGAAATGTGGAAAAGACTGGCTATTCACACTTCCGAAATGATCACCACTAAAGTTGGAAGGTGAGTGCATCGTAATGCATGGTAGGCACGATCAAGCAAGTTGAACAATACTATTAATCAACATAAGGCCCCTAGTTGCTTAATATGTCAATAATGGATGTGTTCAGTTGGAGCAATCTCATTTTAGGCGCATCTTTCCGCATTTGTCGGTAAACGTCAGCAGCCTTGATCCGAAAGCAGTGTACTCCATCGTGGTTGACTTGGTGCAGTTACAGCCTAACGCTATGACATACAACGAGGATGGCACTTGGACGACTCGTGAGGCTACAGCCCAATACCCACCACCTGAAGGATCTCGTAAGAACTGATTTAGTACACATCACGTTAATTTGGCGAGATAACGTCACTTTATTCCAATTTTGCAGCACCTCTCTTATACCTTGCGAAAGACTCTCCGCAAAATGGGGAATTTTGGATGACAGAGGGAGTTGATTTGAAGGCTGCCAAAATCATACACGCGAAATCAGCACAGCAGAATATGAATATGGTGAGTTGACACACCTCTCGATGTAGGTGTTTGGTAATTTGAGAAGGACACAATCCCAGGTCATTTTCTTCAATGCTTATTATGGGAGTGTGACCTTGAATGAAGAGACACTGACTTTCCAAGGGAGCTCGCTTCAATTAAGTGGCAATTCTCTACAGGAATTTCTGCATTTGCTATTTCTCCTTTAGATGTTCGTGCATACCCAGCACCAATATATGCCACGTTACCACATATTTCGGCATTTGGAGGTAAAAGATTTTGAGGAGGCACGCAATGAATTCAGGATGGAGCAGCTGCGTGCTGTGGTGGTTGGCAGCTTCTTCATACCTGGTACACAATTCGTCGCAGTTACACGATACAAAAATCCCGAAATTGTTAAAGTTAAAGTCGATGAAAACCCGTTCGCTGCTGGATCACGAAAGCGCAAGCGTGAAGACAGCTCTGCTTCTAATTCAAACTGAATTAATGTGCAAAGTATTTTGTGCACTTTATTTTCATTAGGCCTCTATGTATTTAAGCAGCAAATATAAGGTAGTCTGTATGCAGCGGGCGGACGTTGATATTATCACAGGTATTGTTTCAGCGGCTACATGCTCTGCCTGCGTTAACATGCCAGTTGGCTTGTGTGAGCATAGGCTGGTAAAATCTACATTTTATGGAAAGACTATAGTTGGTCAAGTGCTTTTGATGCACACGAATCTCGTGTAAAGCCCTCTTTGAACTTT